CAAATTTATGGAATGCATAAAGCTATTCCTTCAAATATATTTATGGCCCAAAATGCCTTTATTATTAAATTTAAAATGTTTAAAGAATTTAATTTAGGAAATTAGAGGGTATCAGAAAACAAACAAAAGAAAAAGTACAAGGAAAATAAGGGGGAGATAACAAAAATAAAAGTAAGACTAAGTAGTTGGCATACTGAAAAGCAGCAGAATTGACAAATAAATCTAAAAAGTAGATCCTTAGCAGAGAGCAGAGGAGGAGGATAAATAGAAAAATCATTGGCAAATAAAATTGAAGGACAAAAGGGAGAGAGCACAAATATGCACAATTTAAAATGGTATGTATAACAGTAAATTAATAGAAAACTTAAAATAAGTGATACTACATTTTAAATCAATATTAATGTATTGATTTAATGAAATATATAATTTTCTAGGAAATTTTTTTCCTGGAAAAACTGACTTAAAGAGAAGTAAAAACTGTAAAAAAAAAAAATTTATTTCCAAAGAAAACTCTAGGCCTAAATGTTTTATGGTATATTCCTTCAGAATTTCAAGGAATAATTAATTGCCATGTTATCTGAGCAACATTTTACATAGCCTAGGAAAAAAAAAATCTTTCCAATTCAAATATGAATGCTGGTACTGGAAATTAACAAAGATAGTACAAATAAATAAAAACACAAACTAATCTCATTTATGATTACAGATGCAAAAATAACAACTGTAATATGAGCAAATAAAATTATGCAGTACATTAAAACAAGACTACACCATGACTAATCAGGGTTTATGTCATCAATAAATTTGAAAAACAAAACCACTAAGATACGCCATAAAATAAAATGCAATTTCTCATAGAAACTCTTAATAAAGTATGGCTAGAATTTTTTTAATAATAAAGAATATCTTAAATCAATAGTCAACATAATACTTAATGCTGAAATATTAAAAACAATTCCATAAATTAAAAACTACACAAAATATTTTCTATCACCTATATAACTTAATATTATTTTTGACAATCTAGGCAGTATAATAAGAAAAGGAGTGGAAAAAAAAGGACATATAAGAGAAAACATATCAGCTGAAATATGATTAAACCTAATAAGTTTTATAAAGATAGAAGTTATAAAATGAACCAGCAAAATTCACTAGCTTCCCTAAACACAGTAACAAAAAGAAAATAGAATGAAGAATATCTCATTCACAAGTGCAAATAAAAATATTAGATATCATAAAGAAACCCTCAAAGGAAATGCCCAGAACTTGTATTTGCAAAACAAAACATTGCACCTAGGAATACCAAGAGCTATAGGCATAAAAAACAAAAAACAAAACAAAACAACAACAACAACAAAAACATTGTTGAGGGACATAAAAGAAATCGATAAATGATTCTGAATGGAAAGATACATTACTATAAAGATGTCACTTTACCCCATAGTTGTATATAAAGGTAATATAACCTTTTAAAATATCACTTTGTAATTTCAATTAACAGTTTAATTACAAATCTAAAATAAATTTTAGAGAAATATGCAAACACCTTAAAGAAAAATTATGAATGTGGTCTTGCAATACCTATTTATCAAAGATACTGTAAAGCTACAGGATTAATATATCATAGAACAAATAAAAGTTTAGATAGATAATGGGATTAGAACCAAAAACTGAGAAATGGTTCCAAATATGCAGTCAGTATGTAATAAAAGATGTTATTTCAAGTCAGAAGTGATGATTGATTATTTAATAAATGATACAGAAATATATGATTAACTGAGAAAAAAATTAGTTATACCTCTGGATGAAATTATACATCAAAATACATTCAAGAGGAATTAGAGTTAAATATATAAAAATACCGTCAAAAACTGAAAGAAAATATACAGAATATTATCTGTCCTTGGGGAACCTTTCTAAACAAACCTCCAACAACAACAAAAAGGAGGCATTGAAAAAGAAGAAAAAGATTTGACAACAAAACCATAAAGTAAAGAAAATGACAATATATAACATATATGACAAATAAAGGTTAATACCATTAAAATATACATTAAGAGTATAACGAAACCAGAACTAGACAAATAAATTCAGAAAGGAAGAGACATTTAATAGAAATAAATTTATGTAAAAATCTTCATTCTCAATAATATCAAAGAAATTCAAAATAAATCAGCAATAATATGAGATTTTCCCCTATCAAACTGGCAAGAAACTTTTAAGTTAATAATACTTGTTAGTGAGGGTGAGAAAACTTGCAGATACTGCTGGTGAGAGCACAGTATACTATATCCCTTCTGAAGGGCAATATGGCAACATGAATCAAAGCCTTTTAAAAAAGAACACACTCTTTGACCCAAGAATTTCACTTTTTAGGAATGTATTCTAAGAAAATAGCCACTAATTAATACTGAAAAAGTATTATGTTATCCATGCTCAAGCTCTTCTTTATAATGACAAACATAAAAACAACTGAAATGTTGAAAGAAGACTCAATTATTAAATTACTAGAACCCTACTTTATGCAATATTTTCTACAAATAAAAATAATATTTTAGAAAATGACCTAATCACAGGAAAAGTCATAATATATCTTAAGTGGGAAAAATAGATCACAAAAGAATAATAAAAAGATGAGTCTAATTTTAAGAAAAAAATTTAACATGTATATGTATAAATTAAAATGGAAACAATATATAATATAGAATTATAAGACAATTTTAATTTCTTTTGTGTGTGTGATTCTATATTTTTTACAGTAAATATGTATGAATTTTATAATGAGGGGGAAATAATATGAGCTATTAAAAATATACAATGCTTGAGATATAATATTGAATACTGATAACCCATGATAGTATGTATTTCCTGGAGATAGTATTTAGATCACTTTAAAATTTCAGAATAAATAATTATAACTAATTGAGGTGGATTGTAATTGGCCTGATACACTCAGTTTTAGCAGTGGTTGAATCAAACTATGAATACTATTTTAATTTTTTTAATTTTTATTATTGTTACATTTTCTGTAATAATGTTTATGGTGACAAAATATTAGGATGTCTAAAGAGACAATCATGTAGACTAAATCAAAATGAAAAATTTAATAAGAATCTTATTCTATGCCCATAAAACTGAGAGTAGCACACAAATGACAGTTCACATATTACATACGGAATTCAGAAAAAAAAGTTAAAAGCATTGGAAAAGCCTAATTTTGTATGTGTTTTGCTTTCTAGATTTGTATACTTTGACTATCTGAGGCTAGTACAGTTTTTATATTTTAAATTCATAATTAGAATTAAAAACAAAGTAAGATGGAAAGTGGGGGTGGGGACGGGGAGAGAAGATAACCCGATGCTTAAAAACTTGATGTTGAATCATAACATAATAAAATGTTAGCTTCCACATTACTAAGAGAAAGCAAGACCCCCATCATTCATGCTAGCAAAAGCTTTCCTTAGCATAAGCCATTTCTGTTCTCACTGTTATAAAAACCAATGACTTTGGAAAGGGAAGAAAACACAGAATGACGTGCAAAGTAGCATACACCATGTTACTGCAGCTGGATAAAGAATATGTCACTAATGACTTTCTTTCTACCCATCAGTTATAAGTTGAGTTTCTTTTTTTCTTCCAAAATATAGCAAATGGCCTTCATGAGTACAAAACAGAAGCAGTGAAATTCAAATAATATCCACTTTCTATTTGATTTTGATACTGTATTATTTAATGGAATAAATTATTAATTATTCCTTGAGAAAGAGATGACTTCCTTTATTCTTCATTTGAGTTAAACATACCTGAACACTAGGCAATTTTTAATAATAAATTCAAAACAACATTTTCATCAGATAGTTATTGCCAAATGTTCTTCTTAAATGAAATATTATACGTGGCAAATATGAAAATTCACCTGAAGTTATTTGATAAATATAGGAAACTAATGTAATTAAGTTTCTAAATTGTCAGTACAAGTCTGAGTGATGACTGTCTATAAGGGACAACTGATAGAATTAATTAATGACCATGCATTCTATTCATGATACCAAAAACTAGTAATATAGCACTTCATCTCCACAAAGGAATCAACAAAAGAGAGTTTGGCAAGAAGTACAACTTCTTGACTAATAGGGTAACTTAATTCTGTAATGTACTGGGATTGTCCACTTCTTAACATGTTTCGGAATAACATCAAGCATTCATCTTCAAAAATAAAGATGCTCATCTTCATCAGGGTAATAGGTCATGAAATTTTTAATTCTGTGAAATCTGTTTAAGATTAATCAACCTATGATCCTATGAGCATGTTAATAAAAATTAAAACTTGCCCTCATGAGATCTTTCTTAAGTGCCAGGCACTATTCTAAAAGCCGTACATGTATTATTTGTCTTAATGAGCCCATGAGGTGGGTACTGTTATTATCTCCATTTTAGATACGAGGAATTCAAAACATAGAAAAGATCAGTGATTTACCCAAAGTCACTCATCTAGTAACTGACAGAGCCAGGATCTGAAAAGGTAAACAAGCCTCACAATCTACCTATAAACCATAAGGTACAGCATATTCCATAAACTCTTTTTTTATAGGTGCTATGGTTGACCCTTTTTGATCAGAAGAAATTCAAATTAATGATTTGGATTCATAAATTAAAATATTATTATGATTTCAAGAGGAAAAACTAAAATTGTCTTTAACTTGATTTGTTCTTCATCTTTGATATAACATTCTATTTCATTTGCATTATGTTAAATAAATGATGAAGCAGTTTATCCTATAAGTTATATGTTTATAGACTATAATAAAAAGAGGGCGAATTTTTCATTCTATAAATATTAGAAAAAATGAAAATTCAAGGACATACTAACATTTACCCTCTCGTAAATAAATAAATATTAGAGATAAGAATTTAATATTAGGTTACAGAAGATCAGCAAATGTGTTGTTATACAAAATAACATCTCTACATTGGTATGTTTGATATTTTGTATACTGTACCTTTAATTTCTCCAAGAAGTTCACTGGTATTTAGTCTTTCCATTTTTTCCTTCCAATCTTTTGAAAGTAGTTTTTCCATGCAAGAGGAATCTATTGAATTGAAAAAGTAAGTATTAAAATAGTATATGTACGTTTTACAAGTACTAAAATATTACAAATCCAAAAGGCCAGTTTATAAAGAAATATTCTCATTTAAAAATGCTCAGAGCAATTTTGTTGTTGTTGTAACCCGAGAACATAGGCAAATATATTACTGTATTATAAAAGACCACGACTAAATTTATTTTTACCAGAAGATTATTTAAACTATTCTCAGGAAAAGAAGATAGTGCTCAATAATCTTATCTTGGTATTATAATATAATTCTATTAACACTCAGTCAACAGTTATTATTTCTTAGACTGATAGGACAGAAAAAGGGCTCTTTCTTATGGGTTTAAGTTTAGATAATATTTATTTTAATCCAGGTGCTCATTTTTTAAAACCAAGCAAAATCTGTATGCTATTCAAGGAAGAATGACAATTCTTCAAGGGAGAAGATACCAATCAACCTGTAACCATTTGTCCTTTAAAAAGAAATAAATATATGGCATCTTTCGTAAAACACCCATTTAGAGCAAAGAAAATAAAGTCAAGATAATGAAAACTGCTAACACTTTTCTCTTATATAGAGATGCATATTCTTTTTAAGAAAATACTTATTTAAACACTATTTGCCCCTATTGCATTTCTAAATAGCATACTAGAATACAGAGTGATTGTTTTTGTTTCTATAAAGATTCATAAAGGTTTCAGAAATTTAAACTACAGAATATTCTAATAACTAGCAAAGTTTTCTCAATGAGTTATTTTTTTCTCTCTATTCAGACTTGCAACTGAAGCTACTGCTTACAACTATTTACATGTATCTTTTAAGCCTCAAATCTTAACAAATAGGCCACATTTCCAAAAAGGGAATGCAACTTTAAATACTAAATCCTTAGTGCAAAGCATACTCCCATTAAACTTTAACATTCCAAGTGTCAAAATTCTGATAACTTCTTCTTAGAATTATATTTAAAATCGTTACTCCAAATCCAAATGCCTTTCCTCTCCCATATCAGTACCTATCTCTTTGGCATTTTCCCTTTCTTTTTTTCTTCAACTTCTAAGTCCTCCTTGGGTTTTTCAGAATGACAGAAAGGTCAAGATGGATCTAAAGGGTTTTAGAAACCAGATAAGGTTTAGAAAAAGACAGTGAGCCCTGGGTAAGAGATGAGAAGACCACTGCATGGTTAGAAAGTATTGGTGAAAACAATTAACATTTGTCCATGACGTGATCAATCAATCAAGGAACGGATGGAATCCAGATCAGCGTGTTGTGAAAAGGCTGATGAAGAACAACCATACTGGCTTGCTATCACAGAAGCCAAAGTTCTTTGTAAATAGAAGTCAGCTTGATTCTATTACATGAAAGCTCCCTACCCGCTCTCTTACTTCTTCCCTTCTTTACTGCCTTCTTTCTTTCCTTCCATTCTTTTCTATTAAAATTTTCTTACGCTTCAACGAATGGTCTACCACTGTGACTAAAAACTGGATTCTGAGTAACCTTCCAACAGGGCCTATATGCATATGCACACATTCAGTTTGTGTTTAATTTTCAGAATGATCTCTCGCTACTTTTACTTTAATTTCAGAAACGAGGTGTATACTTTGTTCTATACATATTTTATCTTTAGGCTAAAGCCATTAAAAAAGATAAGACTGAGTTTGAGAGTTATGAAGCCAATCTTCAAAGCCATGCCATGCCGATCAGAGATTACTTTTTCTTAAATCGAGTTTAAATTTCTGAGAGAGATTGATATAACATCAGATCATGGATAAGAATAATCAACAAACATTTTCAACTTCCTATCCTATCTAGTTTTGTTACTTTTTCTTTTACCCTTTCATACATATTATAAAATTGTACTAAACTGCTAATTGCTGATATATATATGCTAAAGCATAACTCGTTTGGTTAAAATTTGAGTTGAGATTATATATTATAATGCTCAAAGACAAAAACTCAATTTATTAGTTATGAGCACAAACCCACAGAAAGTTCATAAACTAGGATTAGATATACACTAATTGTAAAACAGGCTAAAATATGTCTCTCATTTCTATAAATAGAACTGAAATCTTTCTGAGATCCAGGAAAAGAATGCTGAAACTTCATGGGAGAAAAATAGAACTATATGGACAACAGGAACAAACACTTCAAACATAAATCAAACCATGTGGACACAGCTTTACAAAAAAGCTACTCATTTATAAAATGGTTAATAACTTCAAAGCATTTCACATTCCTATTAGAAAATTAATCCTCACTGTAATGCTGAGTTAATCTAGCTATATGAGTTCCCATTTCAGTAGAAGAAACAGGGGAAAAAATAAAGCATCCTTTGCATGTTGCTATTTATGGCCCCACAAAAATATTTAATAATAATCACAGTTTAATAATATCACAAATTGCCTTTACCTACAGGACAATACAACTCACTACACACAACCTTATCAACATTTAATCTCAATGCTCGGAGATTCCAGGAAGATTCCAAACACTGAGGAAGTCCCTTAGAAAACACTCAGCTTTCTCACCAAATTATCTGGCTTGAGAAACCTCTAACGTCATACCTCGATTACTACTAAGCTCACTCCATACTGTAATGTAAAGCAAGTAAGGTAAGGGGACAAAGACCAGAAGATACAGATTGTTAACAAATACCGCACAGGCAGAGGAAATTACTGCCACCACCGAGAGGTTTCTGACTTCAAAGAAAATATGTAATAAAGTTATAAATAAAATTTTATATTTTCAGATTTCTCACTCAAAACAATATCCAGGTAAGGGTGCAAATTAAAGTATTCTTTGTGCCACATCCTTCAACATTAATAAGACACTAGCTCTACAGAGGCAATTGATCAGATTAGACTTTGCCTCATTCTAATTATCCACAAATGCAAAAAGAAAAGAGATCAAAATAAGTGAAGTCCAGTGTGCACGGACAGAGTAGGACTGTACTCAGTGGTTTTATCTCAGCAGTCAGGCAAGATTCCGAATGTAAAAAAGGACTGAACATCACTCAGATATTCTTGGATTATTTTACACAGATAATTTTGTTTTACATAACTGACTTGAAAACAACTAATATAGTTATGGTGCATGGTGCCGCAATCCTCAAAACAATGAAACAATATATAGTAATCTATTATCTAAGTTTGACTATTCATATATTTGTTATTTTGACTGAGTTGTCTTCAGCTGAAAAACAGAAGAGCTACATATCTTTTGGAAACTAAGATAAAGAACCACAACATTATAGTATAAAAAATGTCACGGTAATAAGTACACATTAAAAATAAGTGTAAACTATATACTTCCTTATAAAAGTGGAAAATGCCAAAATTAATTCCCCTTACTTTGAAAGAATTAGCCTGCATAACCAATACATAGTCAATGACATACAGAACTTTATTTTATTAATCGTGTCCCATTTTTGTAAATAATGTGATTAAAAAAGGACTACCAAAAATCAAGAGCTGGATTTCAGTTCTCACTTATACTTTAATCAAGGATGTAAAAGGTTTTGATATGTTATAAATTAATTCTCAGTTGCATAGCTTTTCTTTTTCCTTTGCAAATTTAAGTTTTTCAAGAAATTTTCTCTAGGAAAAAAGGAATGAAAATTCAGAACTAATTTTTAATAAATAGCCTGCACAATGGATCGCAAAGCAATGTTCCTGTTTCTTAAGTACCTAGGTTTCAGGCCAAGTGGTTTATCACTGTTATAATTATTTTATAGTACAAGAGAAATTCAGGGTGAGAGTATGTGAGACATTTATTTCCTAATCTATACAATAATATTTTAGGAACAATTTTAAATTTTTTCTAGTTAAACAAAGTTGCAGTAGTATTAACATTTATTCTGCATGAAATAAAGATTTCAAATGGGTCAAAGAGAGTAAATAAAGAAATCATCACTAAAACTAAAGCATAGAGGAATAGTAAAAGATAAATGGAAAAAATCATTGTACTTTAAAACAATTTATCTGTGAATAAACGATTATTATAAAAACTGTATATTTAAAGTGATATTTAAAGTGATATTTAAAGTTAGAAATGCTCAAACATTAGAAATGATATAGAAAATATCTTTAAAATATTTTAGTGAGGAAAAACAATGGCTGCTGCCCCTGTATGCAGAATTCCTACTGCGTTATTAACTCTTTTAAGGAAATATTAAAACAATTTTATTTTTACCATAGTAATCATAAGTTTCAAATGTAATAAATTTTCTTTGTATCCAAGAACAATGATAACTTATCAAAGCACACTTGACCTTGGTTTACAAGTAATTCTGACAATATATATTTATATCCCTTCGACCATCCATCCCACATTTTTCGTTAGGAAACAGAGACGCACATGACGGTTACTGTACATTTTTCCACAGTGATAAGTATTTCAGAATACAGTGGGATAAAATTGGAGCATGGAGAGCTTGAAGAGCACTCTTAAATTTTAATTAAAACCCTCCACGCTCACTAAAAATAATTAGACACTAAAATGTGCCAGTTTTATTTTGAAGTCACTAGAATGTACAAAACATACTCCCTGACGACTGCTTGTGCTTTTCCTTCTATCTCCCTCTCTCCAATGAAACAACTGATTTTCCAAATACAAACAAGGGGGTATAAATAGAGGCTGTTTTCAGGCCTGCTCTTCATGCTGAGAAGCTGAAAGAAAAGACAGCAGAGTGGGTTTTTCAGACTGCACCAAATGAAACGAAAATAACTTGCCTAACCAAGAGTTCGAATCACCGACAAACTCTAGATAAAATTCAGCGTGCAAGAACACCACAAGTTGTATCACTGATCTTTTTTGATCCAAACGTCAAACCTTTAACCTCTTAAATGTTTTTACTATCTTAAAATATCTCATACAATGCTATATTCCATCCTATTTTTAGCCAAGCAGCAAGAGAAAGCATGCCTTTCCCATACAGCAGGGCAATGATATAAACATCAACACAGATGCTCTGCCAGGAAGAGCTGGACTTCTCAAG